AGGATTAACCGTCACAAATGTAATGTCATTCATTTCTTTTTGAAGTGGAAATCAGAAATGGTTTGCATCGTATTTAATAAATAATACATAAAGAGTCTGTTCCAGCAAGAGGTATCTGACTAAAGACTTTTCTTTTAATGGAAAGTTTAATTTGAAAATCAAATCTAGTTTCGGCGTCACACGTCTTTCTCATGCATAACCTTCAGGATATGTTCCTCTGGCTGTGTGTCTGCATGGTGATTAGCGTATATCAAAAGTCAAACCTAGATGAGACGGCACCCAATTAAAAAAAGTTAAAACATCAAGGATTAAAGAGTAATGTTTATAAAGAAGTAAACTCATTTCCCTTTTATAGCTTTGGATGTTTACTCTCTGATGCGCAAATGATGCCAGATTCTCCTCCAGTTTGACTATTTTAAGCCCAAAGCTCTCAGTTGCCCGCACGAGGTCAACGATGTCCAACGCACAAAAGAACTCCCAAAACAAATCATGCAAACGCACCGGTTCCATGCAGGCTGCTTTGTGCAATAAGCTACTTACAATCTATGCAACAGCAAAGACTGGATGAGAAGTTAATCCTCCCTGCCTCTCTCTGTCTCTGTCTGTCTCCCTCTCTGTCTACACCTCTCTATCTGTCGGTGTTTCCTGAGGCTTTCTCTCGTGATTTCTCCTTCAGTCTTCTTCAAACGACAGCATGCATCTGTGTATTTAGTCACGTCCATGCTCCATTCCCCCAGTTCCACAGATTCAGAGCAGAGGATCACTTCAATCCAGGTTCCCTGCCAAATGTGAGGCACGTGAGGAAAACAGACCTTAATTACATCTAATCTGAAACAGTGCATGCATGCGCGGGCCAAATGCAGTTCAACAAACTGCTTCAGATCACGGCAATGTTAAAGCAATCAGGGCAAAGGTGCTGTTGAGTCAGCGCACTCAATATTCCAGGTGCTTGCCTGTGAATTAATGAAGTCAATAATGGAAAACGAAAGGAACAGATGGTATTTCCAAATCACCAGGATTGGACTGCTCCCACCCAGTCAGAGGTGTTTTGCAGAATATCTGCATATCTGTGCAACCTGTTGACAAGCAAGCCAACGACACAACTACATTCTTGGCTGATGGTTCTGCTTTTTTCTTTCTCTGTCATGGCCGCTGATGACAGCAGAGTGTATCTGGATCAGGATGCACAGACCGGCTGGTCCATGGCGCATGGTACAGTAGGGCTTATCTAGGGGGGAATATCCGCCCCAGCCCTATAGCCTGCCTGTTCCCATTTTTCTTCCATCCTAGGGCCATCTGCGCACCAGCCAAAGCGGAAACCAGATTATCTCATGAACGCGTCATGCAGAATCAATGGCCTCTCCGCTTACTGCCTCCCTATGTTCCATGTACCTTTTATTTTTGAGATTGAAATTAAAAGGGGGTAAGTAGATAGGGGGGAAAAAAATTCATTTAGTTTATTTGCTGTATCTAGTTTAAGACATGGTTAACATTTTTGATAAAGCCCTTCGAAGCTCTTCGCCAATGCTTTGGCTGAGATCTGAAGGTCAAAGGTGAAGCTCAGTTTTAATGATATCCAGCATCTGCACAAACATATGGTCGATCCAATACATATTCAGAGTCCTGATGGTTGCATCCACATCTCAGTCAGTCATAGTTTGCTCTGGCAATTGTTTGCGAAGGTTTAGAGAAATCACCTTTAGCCTGAAGGCAGGTTTTATTTAAATGCGAAGCGACTGTAGGCGTCCCTAGGCTTCCTTAGGGCTACTGTTCACATTTTTACAAACAGGTGGAAGTGTTATTTCCTATAGTGCAGAGGATCTCTTTGAATTAAAAATAATGTTTTGTGCATCATGAACATTTTATTTTAATTTGTACTCATTGGAGCAGCACAAGGAGGACGTGTAATATTTATTCTTTATAGGCAGGCTTTTCGTGTCCCTGCTTGATTCCGGTGCTTACACAACAGCAACATCGCCGATCACCTGGTTTCCTGGTCATTTCCCTGAGACATCGCCTGGAAATTAGCAACAATTGCTGACATTTTCGACAAAGTTAGATTCAAGCTGAAACCATTCTACCCTTTTCCATGATGACCAAATGGGTTTGGGCAAATGCCACATGCTCCTTAAGTGTCTCCAACTTAGTTTCAGTATTGCTGAAGTGTGTGTTGTCATGTGTGAGAAGTTCCACTTGACTGAAGTGGTACCTTCGTTTTATTAATTTTATTAAATGTACATATCAGAAAGACATTCTACAAAGATGAACACCACTTTTGTTATTTTACAAATCCTAAATACACTTCCTGGTGTGACCAGGCCTATAGTATAGTATATAGTATCTACATTTTCCGTCCAGAGATTATCAAGGACCACTGGAGTGGAGCTAAAACCTCAACTTTAAGCTGCATGGTCCCTGACAGAAATTATTTTTTGTATTCAATTAATTTAAGTTTAAATCTTTAGCACTCTGCAGTGCGGATTGAAATACATGCTGCAGTCCTCTATTAGCAGTTGAGATAATTAGAGAGAGACAGATATAACACATGCAGGGTGTTGTGTCATGCTGGTGGTTTGTACTTCATTAAATGACAGCTGGCTTAGTTTCCCTGTAGACTGTACATTTTACACATTTTACATTTTTTTACCCAGACCCATGTAATGTTATTGGGCTGCTCAGCAGGTCAGGCAGTGGAGTAAGATGAACAAAAGGTTTAGAGACGATTGCTTTTATAATCTCATCATACAAAGAGACTGATAAATGCACAGCGGTGTGCAGCAGGGCAGTGAGGACTTTCCTTCCTGAATGACAGTGACGTTAAGAAAGAGCTGAAACTCATCTCAGAAATCACAGATTTCTTCAATCAAATCCTTAATTGATTTCTTGCTGTGTCATGTTTCCCTGCTTCTCTACAAAACTGGTGAAACAGTTCATAAGTCTGTCACAACATCAACCAGCCCTGACCTTCATTTGAACTGGTTGCACTCAAAGACATATTGACTTTCTGGCAGTGACAGGTCCAATGTTCTCGTTAGCAGACTGACAAGTGTGTCATTGAGACCTGTGTGTAATGGTGTCCATGGAGCAGACAGAATTATAATAATAAGTCAGACAACTCAGGTTTGAAATTTATATTGCAGCAGAACATAGTGATTGCAGTCTGAGCTGTGACTTCATCACTTCCCCTGATATGATAGCATAGATATAATGGCGAGCAAATATCTATAACCCCCCTGTCCAAGCCTACAGGAGGCTGCTTGAGTGGTGGAGGGGCTGAATCAACCAGCAGCAATACTCAGTAGCACTGTAGCAGTAAACAAGCAAAGGGGGTCATGGGAAATTTTTGCATCTTAAATAGACCTCCATTTATGTATTATAGAAGCTTATGGAGAGAGAGGCATGTCACACGATTGGAGCAGCGCAGCTCCAGTTGGCTGTCTGAATGAGCTCACAAGCATCGCTCCATTTGACACAAACTGACATTTGCCATACAAACAAATCCAGCACATGAATTGAGCTCAGGTTATTCATGGACTGGAAGAGGGGTTGAATATAGAATACGATATTCAATAAGATAATTTGATTTATTGTTTACTCCATGTTGTGGCAGCTGCATTTTTGGCTCCTATTTGTTGTCAGAGCTGTTGTGAGCTTCTGGGTTGAGATTGTTCTTCACACATATTGTTGGTTGAATCACACAGCTGTTGTTAAAGTGTGGCATTGGAGACCACAGATACTCGTGCAACATCATATTGTGAAAGTGCCATCAATCAGAGCATCGCCGGTGCCTATATTGATTTGATAAAGCAAAAGCCACAGTGTCACTACTTTGTATGTTTGGATGTCTTTGGATTTCATGGACAACCCTTCCTCCAAGGAGCCTCTGTCTTCTCTTTTACATCGTGGGATTACTGTAATGCTCTTGCTTCCTTTGCAAAGGGAAGCACTGAGGACCGTAAGCCCCATATGGCCCAAAACCTTGTGCCAGATCTGCTGTGCATGTTCTCGAATCCTCACAATTAAAGCAGCTACACATGACAGGTGACACTCTAATCCCACCTTGACTCAGACATCAGAGAGCAAAGAGAAAAGATCTCAGTTTAGACACCAGTGTTCAGTACAGTGTCCAGTCATTCAACTTCATGGTGGAGGATCAATAGCTAAGATAAGATGCATGTTCATATTGTACATATACATATGCAGTCAGTAGGTGTGATTCAAAATAAAACATGCATATTAATATGAATCTCTTTCTTTACCTTTATCCTTATTTATCCTAGGAAAGGGAATNTGTGTGTGTGTGTGTGTGTGTGTTCATTAGTAAATCCAGAAGCTTCATTGTTTATTTCTCTGCTTGTGTCAATATTTAAACAGATAATCTTTATTCCATGTAAAAAGACTCAATATCTGTTTTTTTCTTTCATTCTTTTTCTTCTTTCCATCATTACTTTCTTACCCTTTCCTCGTATTTTCCTCTTTCTTGTTCCAAATTCCTCACATTTTCCTTCTCATCTTGTTTGTGCATTCATCCTTTCTTCTGCCATTTTTCTGCTTTCCTTCATTTATTATTTTCCCCATCTAGCTTCTTCTTTCATTCACCTCTTTTTTTTTTTCTTATTCCTGGTTTATCTCTTTTCTTGTCTTTCCTCGTTCGTTACTTCTTCTGTCTTTTCATCGTTGTTTCTTCTTTTTTTTTTAACTCTGAAGATATTATTGTGGTTAGTTTCCTTTTAAAATACATGTTACATTATCATAAATGTACAGAGTTGGGAGGGGGAGGAGAAGGTCATGAGGTAAATCCTTGAAATAACAATTATAAATTTTCCCCCTCTTTGATCTCTTGGCCGCAGTTCGTACTTTCCCAAAGAGCTGCAATAGGGAAAATAAATATTAACGTCAACCTGGCTGGCATCAAACATCTGGACACACAGCGCAGCACAATCCACTTGAAACAGTTTGCCTGCCATTTCCCAGAAGATTGATGTTTTGTTGTTGGGGCATGAATCCACCTCCGCTTGACTTTGTACTTATAACGTTCTGATTTTCCTGCCGGAGGTCGTCTAATCCCTGACCGACGTAGGCCAAGCCCCTTAGTTGTAGCCGCTTCAGCTGCACTTGCACTTGTTGTCTGATAAGCCAGTGGAGGAGAACGGGGGGTTTGAGGGTATTCACACAAGCTGCATATCTCTATGTTATTGCAGCTCCGGTCACATCTCTGCATCATTGGCAGTCAATTTGAAAAACCACATTGTTGATAATGTAATTATAACTTTCACGTTAGTCTGTTTACGGTGGCTCCATCATGATCCCATTCATGCACACTAATACATATTATCTAAAATCTCCACATGCCAGAGATAGCAATTTAAAATTTGCATTCAAATGACAAAACCTACCATGTCATTCATGGGAGTCTAGAGTGTAGTGTTCAAGTCTTTGAGTTGAAGAAATTCACCTCAAAACACTTCACTTCCCTCATTTGTTAAATCACTTATCATAATAATATCATAATAAAAATTGAGCATAATTAATAAAGAATTTTGTGAGTTCAACATGTCAGTAAAGCCAAGCGCACAATCCAGCTGCAATGATATCTGGGCTTGTTAAAGAACAGCATCTTCCTGGATGACTCAAAGAAAACAAAGATCAAGGACGGTGCTTGAGGGCAGTGAAAAAGCCAACACTGGAGTAAGAAGTGATAGGAATCTATGATCAGAGAGATTGTTAAACTATAAAGCAATATGGAGTGATGACATTTATTATGTTTCTAAATGGCCTGTTAGTATAGGGTCAACTGTAGATTATCATTTAGCTGGTCACTTGCAAGCATTGAGCTGCAAGTCATCTGCTACAAATCTGAGCGGGAGATGGTCATAGAAGTGACTGCATGTAACAACTGTGACACAGTGAAGTCACTGCAGAGCTTGTCATCGAAGAGAGTGAGGCAATATAAGTGGGTTATATTACACCGCATCTCTAATGGTCCTTTAAAGTGAAACTGTAAAGCTTTTGAAAAAAGAAATAAAACTTGAGTTTTGATGCTGCAGCGTTATTTTCTAGCTTTGTCCGCTGAAGTTACTGCTGGTGTTTAACTGCAATGCCTGTAATGTCAGTACATGTCATTACTGAGACAATTCACCGATCGTATGATTCATCTCTACTCATGCTTCTGTTACGGTACGTTTTTAAGCATTGTCATCATCCTAAAACTGCCACAACTACACAGCTTTGATTTTGATTCAACTTAATTTAAAGGTACAGTGTGTAGAATTTTGTGATATCTAGTGTTGAAATTGCATGTTGCAGCTGAACACCCCTCACCTCACCCTCTCCTTCCAAACATGAAAAAGAACCTGTGGAAGCTTCAGTTGTCATAAAAACTCAGACAGTGTTTAGTTTGTCCAGTCTGGACTATACAGAGGACCCCCTCGATGTAAATATAGGGTAGTTATTTAAATATAAAGGGCTTTTTCTGGGGTAAACTACAATTCATACAATTTAGATGAAACGAACTAGTGAAAACATCATTATTATTCTACATTAAATTTCTGCCAATAGTTCCCTTTCACCTAAATCTTACACACTGGACCTTTAAAGACATTTCAACAAAATTTTGTAAGATCTCAGAAGCCAATTCAATGAAATGTTAACTTTTCATTTTGAGGTTGCAAAATCATTGAGACACCCAACAGTTCCCACCGCAAGCAAACATCTTTCAAAAGATCTTTCAGCCAGCTGCCTATGTAGCAGGTCTGGCTGAAACCTCACTTCAAACTCTGCATTGTGTTAGTTAATTTGCATTCCCCAGAGCTCTTTCTGCATGGCAGAGCCTGCCGCTACAGAATAATATCAGTACAGCTACTTCACAAAACCAGGTGTCACACCTGCACACACCTCTGGTGACCAAGCTGAAGTTGATCCACAACTCCAGAGATGAACCAGTCTGAAGAAGTGCGGATCCGGGTCACGTGACAAGAATATATTTGACACATTAAAAGCTCCCCAAACAAATATACACATAACATAGATGGACTTTAGGTGAAATATAAAACCCATTAATGTAACATATCAGTTACACATACATCTATAAATATTTGCTTGGATATGCTTTAACTTCGTGTCTGCCCTTGCTGTCGTAATGTCTCCAGCTCCAGTCAAGCAGCTGCAGTTCTACACTTTTGTTATCTGCACATTCCCCCCACGTTTTTGTTGTGATCTCAGGCTACAGTCCAAACCAAGTGTGGCTTTAACTCTTGTGCAAGTGACTTGGTACCAAGTCATTTTGGTGAAAACACATTATATACCCGGGCAGCACGATGGTACTCTGGCTTCCTCCCACACTCCAAAGACATTGGGGTTATGTTTACTGAGACTCTAAATTGATCGTAGGCGTGAATGTAAGTGTGAATGATTGTTTGTCCCTGTAATACGCTGGAGACCTGTCCAGGGTGTGTCAGCTGGGATTGTTCCAGCTCCCCCTTGGGCCCCTCAAAGGATAAGCAGTTAGATAATGGATGAATAGACATTATCCACACGTATCTTCAAATTCCTGTTGCTCCTGACACTTTCATACTTCCTGACACTGTCATATGTGTAGTGCATACAGGTTATAGGGTCTACTGCCACAAACATCTCTCGCACACTCATAATCTTGTGACCCCTCTTTTTTTGCATTTTTCAAAACTGACAGGCTGACACTCTCTCTCCTCCTCCTCCTCCTCACTCTCCTTCATTGCCATCATTTCAACATCTTCCCACAAACCACATCTGCCTGCATGTTTTTTTTTCCCATTTCTTTCACACAAGCTGCAACAGTGTAAAGCTTTTCTTTTTGTGAAACGTTGCAGCGAACGTCTTCATGTCAGCGCAGGGAAAAATCAAGGTTTTTCTCATTTAAATGCAAATTACACTCATGATGATAATGTTTATGATTGCCCACATTTATTCCTGTCACTCAGGTTTTCCTCATAGAAAGGGGAGGGTTACAAAGTTTTAAATGGCCCCTCAGACGAGATGAGGACAGGAGCGTGTAGCAGAGAGATCGCATTTCAAAAGATATACTAACATTATTTTCATAAATTTACAGGGAAAAATAAATACATCCTGCATAGACTGAAGCAAGGATTACATAATGCCTGTAATGCTGGGAGGCTATAACCCATTAACCTGCAGCTGTCACTTGTCTCTATGCACTACAGATTCTTTACATACTACCTATCTGCAGCAGCATGTCAGTAATGAACATTTTCACTCATTCTCCCTCTAGGAGGGAAACTGAAGCTCACTGTCCATTTCTCAATTTCTAACATGAGCTTTTCTCTCTGCCTGTCTATGTCTCTACTTTCTATTGGTCAGTTTGATGTCCGGTCTCGCTGCCCTGGACGCCAAGTGCTCCAGCCGCCTGGGCATTATGACCATCTCCTACTACCTCTGGACCACCTTTGTTGCCGTCGTAGTGGGCATCGTCATGGTGTACATCATCCACCCGGGTGGAGCTGCCCAGAAGGAGGACTCAGATGAGAGCAAGAAGCCGATGACTAGCTCTGCTGATGCTCTGCTGGATCTCATTCGGTAAGAGGCTGTCACGTTTCTCCTCCATTACTCACTCAGTGTCAGTTAGCTCAGAGGAAACTCATCATTCTCATGGCAGAGGATACGTGACCCAAATTTGATGTGCGTGATCAGTGTCACGACTGTGTCTTCACACACAGAAGATACAAACAGCCACAGACAAACATGTGCATGACATGAATGAATATACAGAAGATTCATGAGAACCTATTGTACTGGAGTGTTTGTCTAAGACTGACTAAAAAGCACCGGACATCACTGGTTGAGTGAAAACCTTGGTGTTTTATGTGTTATTTTCTAAAGAGAAGAAGAGGAAAAAAAATGTTATTAGAGAGTTGAACCTCTTCAGCACTGAAAGAAACCAAGCTCATCTCATGTTTTTATTATTGTACATATTGGATGATGGATGATCCTTAAAATAGAGTTTGTTTAAAAAAAAGATCAAAACCAAAATGAAACCAAAAGGATCATCGAGAGATGCAAGATAATATTTCCTTTGTGTTTGAGGTGTCTTTGCAAATGAAATCTCAAATATTGACTGCAGTACTCGTGGCAGCAGGCTGAGTGGGAAAAGCCCTGAGACTTAATATAATTGTCTGCTTCACACCTTGGCAACAAGTGAGAGACGTGCAAACTTTGTGAGGATTACAATTGAAAAACAGATGCTGCTGCGTGCACGACGACACCTTCTAGTCTATTAATACCTGGGATTGGACATTTCTAGCTCTGCGTGCGCTCTCATGTGACAAGGGGGGGGTGCTCGAGGTCAGAGCGTAAAGCCTGGAGCCTCGTGTACCAGTGGGTTATCGTGCTAAGCTAATTAGCGCTGCTGAGGGACCGGTGCTGCATTCGAGGCATAGGTTAGAGGTGAGTCTAGGTCAGACCCACAGTGGGAAACATGACAACGAGGCCCTGAGAGCCACTGTGTCAGTGTGACAGTCGGTCAGTGGGCTAAAGGCAGCAGAGCGCTACTGAGGCATCGAAATCAATGCGAACTGCAGAAAACTCACAACTGTGTGTTTTTCATTTCAAAAAGACTTTAGAATTTAAAAGCAATGTTTTTTATATTTTATTGATTCTAGTTTAATTTTGAACATTTCAGGGTTCCAATAACAGAGTCAAATCATGGTGGAAAAATCTAAATGTACCAAGAAAGATAATAAACTTGCTGATGTGCTCATCACGTGGCAATGGTGAAGTGTGTTTTTATGTGTGTGTGTGTGTGTGTGTGTGTGTGTGTGTGTGTGTGTGTGTGTGTGTGTGTGTGTGTGTGTCAAAGAGCACAGCTGTGCTTTGGATTTATCTCACAAAGCTTCTTTACAGCCTTCGTCTATCATGCAGGCATACTATGTTGGTCCTCTCACAAATGGGCCGTGCTGTCTGCGGCCATGTGTTTACGTGTGCGAGTGTGTGATAAGTATGTATAATGAGCCCAGTATGTATGAATATGTGCATACTTGGATTTATTAGGGGCAAAGGGGTCCGAGTGGTTCATTAGCCTGCTTTTCCGTCTTAGACACAGAACAGGCTGCTGAATGGCTAAGTGGTCAAATCCGTGCAGTATACTCACTGCAGTCCTCTGAGTTGCACCATAATGTCAGCAAACACTATCTCTGACATATGTGTCTTTAATGTCGCTCTGTTTAATGCACGAGCTGTAAAAAGCAATATGTCCTTTAATCCTTCTGCATCTGTATTATGTGAGTCTTGAGGCAGAGCTGACACTTCTCTGGAGGAATGACACACGACTATTCAGCAGCCTGCAGCAGTTTGCGCTATAGGGCTGGATGATATGGCTTAAAGTAATGTCAAGATAAAATGTTCATATCAGTAGATGATAATAATTATTATTATTAAAACCATAAAGGTCACATCATTGTTTATTATAGGGTTAGATACTGATTTTTGTTCCTGAGTGAAGGTTGTTGTTTTAAACTCTCTTTTATGAGCAGAGAATGACAAACACTTGATAAACAACAAAACATTTGTTATATTGCTTTCGATGAAAATTATATTGGAAATAATTATTAATATTAATTAAGAATGTATATAGTTTAATTGCCCTGCTTCAGCCATATTCTGCACCACAAATGGAGGGGGCTATATTTAATTAAAAAAACACTACATAATAATAATCTACAATCTAAGAGATTACAATTACAATAAATAGATTACTCAATTTTCCTGTCAAGGTTTGAAAAATAATCATGTTCCACAATTATTGTTTTTATTACCTTTTGGATTAGATTTATCTACGGTCAATCTACAGCTGTTTTCTTTGTAAGTGGTCTCACTCTGTTTTGGAAACACTTCATAACATAATGTGATGACATGCTGTATACATTCAATAAAAAAAAATGTATTTGCACAATAATTTAAAATATGTCTCTCGGGCTTCAAGGACACCTACGGATGTGGACGTGAGCCACATTGTCCTATCAGCTTTAGCAGTAGCATTAGAAAATTTGGGTAATTCCATGAATAACATCTATGAAATGATAATTCCTGTATCATCAATTTGAACTTGTATTTCATATCACTGACCTTCTCTTCTACCATGCAAAATATCCTTTTCATGAGGGACAGGAAAAGTGAAACCAGGTTGATTTACACAAATTAAATCAATGACAGTGACAAAAAGAAGAGATTCAGATTCAGAATCAAAACCTTCATTTTCAGGGGTAGACAGAGGAGGTGGATTTGATAGACTTTGTCAACATGAACATATTGCATATGGTGCATGGTTTCACAATGATGGCAATAGTTTTCTTTCAATGCCAATTTAAAACCAAAAGACATACAGGAAGGAATCTGTATTGACACTGAATGATGCTTTACATCCAAAACATGTTGTCCTTTTGTGTTGTGTGCTCTTATTCATTATTGTGAACCTATACTATACTATTTCTGTCCTGTTTGTGTGAATTACTTTATTTTATTTTTCCTTTTTGTCCCTACTGTTGAATGTTAAGCATCCTTGGGTCTCTTGAAAGGCCCTCAATAAACTGAAGTGGTTCTTCTTATTATTATAATTTGCACTACATCTCTTTCTGTGACTGAAGGATATTTATACTCTACTTTGAAAACCCAGATGTGTGCCGTACACTGAATGACTTACATGTTTCCTACAATTCTCCTCCACAGCAACATGTTTCCAGCCAACCTGGTTCAAGCTACTTTTCAACAGGTAAGCTGAAGTGATGAAGGCAAAGACACTCACTGTTTAACCCACAATACACAGCAACAATATTTTGAAATTGCGGTTAAAGACTTTAGCATTTTTTATGAAATTAGCTTGTTGATCTTTAGAGTTAATTGTGATATTGATTGTATATCACTCCCATGTCCTCACACTAACCTACACAATGACCCCGTACACACCTGTTATTAACATTTGGGTTTATGTGATCCGATCACTATGTGCAGGTGTGATCACACTCAGATCGGATAGCAATCCAATCACGCCAGACCACATTGGGGGGAGTCTAGGCCACGTGTCCACATTCTTTTAGCAGTGTGAACGCAAATGTGGTCCTGGCCACATTAAAGCACCGCCTACTCAAGTGACGTCCTCTGTGTAAGCAGAAATATGTACACACCAGCACAGGGTCAAACATCTTGCTCTGCCTTGAACGCGTCATCTGCGTCATTTTCATTTCTTCTTCTTGTCCTTGATGCTTCCCGCCTTGCATTGCAAGAAAACTACAATTCATACAACTTAGATGAAACGAACTAGTGAAAACATCATGAGGATTATTCTACATTAAACATCTGCCAATAGTTCCCTTTCACCTAAATCTATACACACTGGACCTTCAAATGTCACACTCCTGTTATGAACTTAATTGTGTCGTTATCATGAGAAAATGTGCTGCTTTGCACATCTACCTTCTGTGTCATGTTCTGATGGGTTTCTTACTGTTTTTGTTTTTAAAGTATCGAACACAGAGAGTCCCAGAACTTATTCCCAAACCAACGTTGGCTCAGCTCCTGGATGAGACCACCACGCGCAGGGTCTACATCTACGGCATCCAGGATGACAATGGCACTGATGTGCAGAACTTCTCCCTGGACCTCACACCGCCACCTGACGTCATCATGAAAACATCACCCGGTACCAGCGAAGGCATGAATGTGCTGGGGATTGTTATTTTCTCTGCAACCATGGGTAAGTAGTTGGCATGGAGCTCATAAACACACACACACCTTCATACACATAACATGTATAATTGTATGATTGTCTCGGCACACCCACACCTTTGCATAATTAATTTAAAAATATTTTGTATTCCTCTGAGGGAGGCAGAGAACAAAGACATTACATAATTCTCCTTTGTTAACATTTGCTGAATGCATTCTCGTTGATATATAATTGAATATATGAATAAATGAATATTAACATACAATAACATTGTCTACTAAAGATTGTATTCAGTACTTACATGCAGCATATGTTGATGTTGTTTTTTTCAATCCAGGAATAATGTTGGGGAGAATGGGGCCCAATGGAAGCGCATTGGTCAACTTCTGCCAGAGTTTAAATGAGGCAGTGCTGAAGATTGTTGCCATAGTCATCTGGTAAGAGTTGTGTCATGAGAGAAAACAGCACCAAAATAAAGTAAAAAATGTTTATAACTATAAGCTGTAGTGATGATCAATTACTTTTAGCTGAAACACCATTAGGAAGCTCAAATTTTTAGCCCAGCTGTCTGCTTGTCTGTATGAACTGCAGTGGTGTCCACCTCTTTGGGCCCCCAGACTGTAATACACTATATGGACAAAGGTATTGGGACACCTATACTTTACACCTACAGGTCCTTTTATGTCATCCCATTCTAAATCCATAGGCATTAATATGGAGCTGCCCCCTGCTTTTTCAGCTGTAACAGCTTCCACTCTTATTTGGAAGGCTCTCTACAAGATTCTGGAGTGTGTCCGTCAGAATTTCTTCCCATTAATCCAGAAGATCATGTGTGAGATAAGACACTGATGTTGGACGAGAGGATCTGGCTCGTAATCTCCGTTCTAGTTCATCCCAAAGGTGTTTGATGGGGTTGAGGTCAGGACTCTGTGCAGGCCAGTCAAGTTCCTCCACACCAAACATAGATTTACTTTCACTGGTACTAAGGGGTCCTGTCCAACAAATGGGAATTGGACTGAATTAAACACCTGTATTTGATGATTAAGAAGTATGTCCCAATACTTTTGTCAATATAGTGTAGCTTGAATTACTCAGAGATTTAGTCATTCTTTGTCTTTACGACTCTGATGATCCTGCGAATTTCTCACGTGCCATCTATACAAATCTAGTTTTGGATTTTCTAGTGGAATGACAACTATTGGATGTTTTTGTCCTTAGTTTATGATAAAATACGATGCTGTTCGCATGGCTATAAAGCCTCAATCTTGTCATTTAGTGTAGAAACTGTTTTTGTGATGATCCACAATTTAGCTGGAACCACATTAATACTTAGTATTGTTTTTTTTACATTTGAACACTCAAGATGTTATACCTGCTATTCATAGAGCTGTCAGTGGGGTTTCAATACTAGACGCAGCGAGAAGTAGAAAGAAATAGCATTTTGAGAAAAGCTTATCTTGTGGCTGATAACATGTGCTCTACCTTTCCACCCTCCTCTCCTCTTTCCTTCCCAGGTATTTCCCCTTCGGTATTGTGTTCCTGGTTGCTGGAAAGATCTTGGAGATGGACGACCCTTCAGCCATGGGGAAGAAGCTGGGCTTTTATGCCATCACTGTGGTAATGGGCTTGGTGCTGCACGGGCTCTTCATCCTCCCAGCCATGTACTTCTTCATCACTAAAAAGAGCCCCATTGTTTACATCAGAGGCATCCTGCAGGCCCTGCTCATCTCCTTAGCCACCTCATCCAGGTATAAAAGTCTTTTCTCAACTAAGAACTACACTTAATTCAACTTTATATTCATTTACAAATTCAGGGAGAAGGAATCTGTTTTGCTCAATTTATTAATGAATAAACAAGTAAAGAAGAATAAACCCACTTAATTAGGTTCCCTACATATTTCCCAGTATAAGCTAATGATGATAATAATATTAAGAATAATTTACCACTAATTATCTTGACAGTGGCCACCCACCATATTCAAAATTCATCCCACCAGTGTTTCATAGTGAACCAAAACCTTTTTTAACACTTTCCATAATAGATGTTGTGCTCCTTTGCTGCATTGTACAGTGTGCAGTGTTATTCGCTTGCTCACCAAGCAGAAGGTCAGACCTCATAGTTTTAGCTGCAGCTGAATCTGTACCCACACACACACACAAGGGAACTTGCCTTTCAATCTAGCCTGTGTACCCATCACTCAGAGTAGGATGTCGCAGGAGAGTGCCGTTCATGCATGTGCATCCACCTTACCACTATAGTTTTATATTTTCGCTGCAGAGAAGGTGAAACATAACTCCTGAATGACGGATCCACCCATCTATTAAGAGCCGCACCACAATGTACTGGGTTCTTTCCTGACCCATACCACATCCTTCCACCATGTTTTGCACACAAATAAACAAAACAAAAATATAACTTCCTTGGCTGAGGTAATAGTAATAATTGACAACTCCATGGTAACCCCCACCCAGACTGCTTGGCACCTGGGTGTGACACGCGACAGTCAACTCTCCCTTACTGCCAACATTACTGCAACAACCCACTCGTGTAGATACATGCTGCACAACATCAGGAGAATACGTGCGCTTCTCACTCAGAAGGCGGCACAGGTTCTGGTCCAGGCTCTAGTCATCTCACGCTAAGACTACTGCAATATAGGATCTCTCTAGAAACATAAATGTTCCCACCATGATATTCATCAGAAATGGTGGCAATAGAGGAAAGTATAATACAAAGCTACGATTTGGGAGGGGCAAGGTCAGAGCTACTGCATTTCTTGTGTAAATTGAGCAATTCTGTTTTCCACCTCAAGGTTGTATTCTATGCTTGGATTGCATATATATAGAATTGGGCTTTTCCAACAACAGGACACATTGTAGCCATTCAAAGGGATGAGCAGCATTACTCATAGTTCTTCACATTCTCAAATACTGGAAATTGTCCTTCATCAAAGCACAAAGTTTACTTTCAGTTAATTTTCCAGAATTACACATTTTTCGACATATATCTTTGGTTTTTAGTTCAAATATCAACAGTTTTGATAGAAATGAGATTAATCTACTGAACAAATACACTGAGAAAATCATTAATACTAAGTAGAAGCAGATACAGAGCACTTGGATAGAGCTACTTGTGACAAAAGATTTTTATTTGGCTCTTTGTTGCATGATTGACAGCACAGCAGCTCCTTACAAGAGGTTTTTCATGGATTGCTCTGAATGTCTGAGAGGAGTTGTCATCATTATCTTTTCCCCTCGCAGCTCTGCTACTCTGCCTATCACCTTCAAGTGCCTCCTCGAGAACAACCACATCGACAGACGCATCATCCGCTTTGTGCTACCCGTCGGTGCTACCATCAACATGGACGGCACGGCGCTCTACGAGGCCGTGGCAGCCATCTTCATCGCCCAAGTGAATAATTATGAGCTTGACTTTGGGCAGATCATCACAATCAGGTAAGGGCAGGAGCAGGCACAAAACAATTAGGACTAATAACTTGTTTTAAATGTCAGCAGGTGAGGGAGGTTGAAAAAGATTAAGGATATTCTCTGAGTTCTTCAGTCAAATGAAAAGCTTCTACCTAAGTTTCTACCACTTTATTGATTTTATTGGATGTCTTAATTAAACGAAGTGAAATAAAAGCAAAGGGATTAAAGGGGCATGTAGCTAATGTTACACAGGAATTTTTAAAGCCTGGCAGCCTACATTATAAACAAGAGAAACTAAACTGAAAGACATTTACCATGCAGGGAAATATGCAATTGAAAGATGCATCTGGGTTGTCATTTGGGAAATGCCCAAGCCTGTGTCTGGAGTGTTTTGACCTTTACTAGAGACTAAATGTCAGAATATAAGGCATCTTGGTTTTCCATGTACAGATTTTGAGCAGCTTTTATTCAACTGTCTCTTGTCACTGCCGCATCCTTCATTGAAACTGAATTTAAAAAGTTCCTCAACTAGGGGAGATACCGAGAGGAGGGCAACAAGATTAATTCAACCATATTAAAATATAAAACGATTAGAAATAACATGCCATAGCCATAGTAAAAAAAAAAATCGGTAGATAAACTGAAAATAAAAATGTCATCAGCCCTCTGATTTTTTTTGCCCTTACATGAAAAATAAAGTCACTGGATTTTCCCTAAATGTGCCTGATTTTCTTCATCAAGATCCATGAATTATTCAACAGGGAAACTGTACAATCATTGAAAAACGCTGTCACACAATGTTAAAGAAAATTACCCCAAAAAATCCTGGATCCCTTGATCTGCTCTATATTTCAATCGGTGCTTCCCTGACCCATACCACATATTTCCACCAAGGTTTGTGGTAATCTATTCAGTAGTTTTTGTGTAATCTTGCTTACAGACAAACAAACAAACCCACAAACAAATGGACAGGGGTTAACACAGAACCTCTTTGGCAGAGGTAATAATGGACAGAAGTAATGTATGGCAATTTATAGCACCGCAGGAAATACTGAAACAGTCTTTTTGCAAACTAACTCAGATAACTATCCTTTGTATGCTTCAACAAACATTGAGGATAATGGGGGTCTCTAGCACCTTTCATTTTTTAGGGGTTGGAGTCATTTTGGCTTGTTGGAAAACATATTTATTCATAACCTGTTGAGAGATATATGAGAATCTTAACTTTGTTACTGAAAAAGTTTTAGAGATGCAGGTGTGGATTTGCCTTTTGTTAGAGCAAGGCCTTCCTTTGTTTCCTCCAGTTTCTAGTATTTATGATATGCTACCATAAGATAAGCTAACAGGCTAGATGTTAACAGACAGACATGAGAGTAAAAGTTGGTAAATTTCAACCCTGCTTAAAGTGTGACGACACAAGATCAAGAAATGGTGCAGGCATGCTTGCTGCAACATATGAATTAATCTAACGTCACACATTTGGTTTAATTCTGATTAATAAAAAAAATATTATGGGATTTACTCGATACACATATATGTAAATGTCACACAGATTACGCCTCATATGAGCTTCTTAGTCTGATCTGATTTCTGCTAAATCAGTCTGGAAGCCCCAGGGAGACAGACAGACAAACACAAACACCCAACAGACCCCCTCCGGCCAATATCACTACCCTACAACTTTCAGCCCCAGGTAAACAAGTCCACCCTGAAAAAAAGTCCTGTTCCTCCTCTAATTTAATGACATTCAGTGACGTTTTTCTGTGATAACATTAAGCAGACCTCTCCTCATGGCTGCAGTCTGTGCCCATTCCCTCGTAATCCCTTGGCTGTAAGACCCATATGACCTGCATTACTCATCTCCCTTGTCACGCCAGAATTATAATAATTTTTCCCTCTTGGATCCTGTTCCTGTGCTGTTTGGCTGCTGACCATGAAGCTGCTCCATCTGCATGCTCAACCCAAACCCAACTTCCCTTCTCATCTACTGTTCCTACAAGCTAGAGATTCTCAGCCTCAGCACCCTTAGGACTGTGGACTTTTATGAGGCCTCGAAAATATTTGTTGCATGCCCCAAGATAACGATGTACTTTAGCAAAAAAAACCTGAAACTGAATGATAATGATATAACTTTGTAGACTGTCATCAGTGGGGGGAAAGTGTTGGGCAAGTTGGCTATATTCCCTGGGGGTTGGCAGTTCAGTCCTCTGTTCCCCTGATGCTAGGTCATTCAGAAATGGCATCCAGAGTTAAAAAAGCTAATGTGCAGATGGTGATCTGCTGTAGCATCCCCTCATGGGAGCAGCAGAGAACAACAACATAGTTTATATTAAGCTATTTTTTCTGCAATTTTTGCTGCAAACAACCCATCCCTGAACAGATTGTCAAAGCTAGTGTCACTAGTCACAGAAGGCCTGGCAATCTTTGGATTTGTCCACATGCTGAAATAGTGTCTATGGAGCTTTGCGTTATGTTTGTGATTGGCTGGAGCTGGACTCAAATGCAGACGTAGGTGGGAAGCGGGGCTTCGAGTTAATAACCAAATAAACAAGGCAGGCAACATCTGAGAAGGATGCTCAAAAAAAGACAAAAACAAGCAGGAAGCCAGGTGAAAAAATTTTAGAAACTAATGATATGAACATGAGCAAGAACTGGAGACTTCACAAGAAGCAGAACAGACAGACTAACAAAAGGGAAACACAATACTACAAAATGGTGAACTCACTGTATAGTGGACGGTAGTGAGGGATTTCGGAGAGAGCCAGATCACATAACGGGAGGCGGAGATAGTTGAACATATGTGGACAGCTGCAAACAATCACAAGGGCAGCTGCAAACAATCACAAGGGCAGGAAACAAAAGAAACAAAGTGACAAAGACACAGTATCAAACAGGAAGGAAAGTGACTGTCAAAATAAAAGATGAACCAAGAAAACATACACATGGGATCCCATGACAATGTTTCCACATGCACGATAATAATTGTATTCGTACGATGTATGATGAATAATGCATGCTGTACGATAATTTGATAATTTTGTGACAGTGAATGCATCTCTTCTCGCATGACATCTTTCCTGCAAATCATGCATGTTGGGATGAACGTGAATATGGCCCCCTACCTCAGTATTTTAACATCGGACAAGATGGTATCCAGGTCTTCTGCACTAGTTAAGATGCCAACCGCCAGTAGCAGATGTGATCAACCACCAGTGGATGTTAGGTACATAATCTACAATTGTTAGCGTCAACAGGTGTTTCAGCCTTTTAAATCACAATAAGACGCCCTCTGCTAAGGCAGGTCCATCACAGACTGATCAGACTTGGGTGCATGTCCCAAACATCTTTGGGCTAAGTTGGGATCTTTCCTCCCGATCCATAGCCATTGGCTGCAGCATTGTGCAGTCCATGATGTTTCTTTTATGGTCTGGCGCAGGGCTTGTACATGGATTTCTAGATCTCTGAGCAACCTGATGGTGGATGTTGCAATAAAACCCCTGCAGCTATGAGCTTCACTCGGTGGGCTACTGCTTTCCAGCCACGTTGTTCTGCCTCAAATTCCATCTACTGCAGCCTCTTTCTCTCAGGATACTGTTTTTTTTAAAAGTAGAAGACGTGCAGGGTGTACCAGGTCTGGTCTTAGGATGGTGGTGACAATGTGTGATGGGAGTATAATGTTAAGCTTTTAACAGTCTCTGGCTTGCTCCAATGGGCCTCTCCTGCCCTGTCAAGGGAGAAGGCCCTCTCTGTCCCTGTTCCCCCTCTCAGACAAAATGCTTGAAACTGCACAATGTTTCAAAGGGCAGGCATTGGTAGCAGTTCTCTTTCGAAAAATGCCACCTCTTCTTCACATTCTTCCAGTTAAATACATGAATTCAGTGTAAAGAAATTTATTGTGAAATGTAATTGTGAATTTTGTGAGGTAAAAACTACAGTAGTTTATAGTAGCATACCATTGAAGTTTCCAAGTATAGCTCAAACTGGACTTGAGGGAGTTTTATCACTTTAATAACTAGAATGGAAGTTAGTAAAGCTGCTCAAAGGCCAAATAGTTCCAATAAATTCAATAAAGCCTCACTAAATTGCACACACTCACAGATTAGGTCCCTTAATATGTCTACATTACAAGTTTCTTCGGTGGGGATAATTACTTTCTATAGGTGTCTGTGTACTCACTTTATTTTTTAAGCCTAGTGGCCGGAGGTCTTATCTTTTTGGGTTGTCATTTCTGTACGTAGATCCTATGTCCTTATGTCTGGTGAACATATCTCAAAATGTCAAGGGAATTAATTCAAATATTTTTGAATATTTCAGGAAGACTTCCAGAAAATATTTTAAATTCGGCACAAGCGTTCAATTAGACTCAAAGATGAATTTATAGATCTTGGTTGACAAAGGTCGTCACTGTGGCCTCACAAAACTTGGCCTCATGAACATAATATCTCAAGTTTGAATTTCAGTGGCCAATGTGACCACACATGAATCTGGAAACGAATGTATGTAGAAACTGCACTGGTTGGCAGAGGCATAAAATCCCAGGGCAGTAAACCAAGCTTATCTATTTTAACCATGTAATTCTACTGCTCACAACCTATTCTGTACTTTCCTTCAAAACTTCCATGAGAACCAACAATAAACTTTCTGTATATTATAAAAATAAAGACACTCTGCTGTTCCGTCTGTTCTCCCAGCATCACTGCCACTGCAGCCAGTATCGGTGCAGCAGGAATCCCACAGGCGGGACTCGTAACCATGGTGATTGTGCTGACCTCCGTTGGTCTGCCCACTGATGACATCACTCTCATCATTGCTGTTGATTGGGCCTTGTAAGTAAGGGTTTGTCTTTTCACAGAGAATAACACACAATCAATGTCACCATGTTTGGGAAATGAAATGCTACTAACTGGAAGACAACACTTTTCCAGTAAAGTTGAATTATTGAAAATACAAATTACTTCATGCATCTGGAATGTTATTTATATTGTAAGCTTCTGTGTTGCATAAACCTGATAACATGGTTTAGGTTTTATCATGTAGGGATCGATTCAGGACCATGGTCAACGTGATGGGTGACGCCCTGGCCACAGGCATCATGGCTCATATCTGCAGAAAAGATTTTGTCAAGGAGGGGGAGCAGGTGAGAGCATCATGGTCAAAATTAATGGATTCTGCAGGACTCTGCACTATTTCAATGATGAAATAGTGAATTATAAAATGACCTGTGCATAGAATAAGCTGTACTATTTGCTTTCATTTGAAAGAGAGGTAGAGAAGTGGTGTGTGGATGAAGATTGGAAGTTGAAAATATAGTATAATCTTCGTTTTTATGTAATCTTGCAAACAAACAAACAAAAAACAGAACCTCCTTGATGTAGGTAATTAAGAGCATCTTCTTCCTCTTCTCATTCACCAGGTGCCTCTGATCTGCGAGACCAAACCCATGATCAGCATCCAGCAGATGATGACCTACCAGAACCAGAAGAACGGCTGCTACCAGCCGCCCCCGCCGGGCAGCAAGCACGACCACCTCTCCCCGGACGTGGCTCGCCTGATGCAGCTAGAGGAGGGCGTTCGGCCGATAGAGAAGAAGAAGCACGGCCACTCCTCTCATCACAAGAGAGAGCACAGGGACAAGGACCACTGTTCAATTGACATGAACGGCCTGGAGACTAATGTATAAAAAGCAGCCGCCCTCCCAACAGCCACCGGCACATCCGCAGCTGCAGGACCAGCAGGAGAGGAAGAACAAATCGAAGAACTGAGGTGACTGAAGTTCACACGCTTCTCTTCTGAGAAGAAAGGAGAGCGGCCAAGAAAATACATTTTTTTCTACATAACCTAAATGATGACCCACATTTGATTGTGTATGTTTGTGAGTGTACATATTTATCAGATGAATTACTTGACAGCAGCAGTGAGTGTGTGCTGCGACTGACAAGCCGCTTCACTCCCAGAACTGTGTCTCTCTGGCAGTGAAGTGAAAAGGAGAAAACACAATAGCTCATGAAAGATACAATTAAAGGAGTCTATCCCTCCTTTAGAATTTCAATGGGTTTTTTTATCGTTGTGTTCTCTACAATCTAAATGCTTGGTGTGTTTTTGATTCACTAATTCAATAAAGCGCACAACAGAAAGACAAAATGGGACCAAGCAAGATAATTGAACTGTAACAAGAACCCATTCATGCGAACGCACCTATGCAACAGTTTTACTTTTAAGGAACAAATTTCTCCGACTTTTTCGGGAAGAAAAAAAAATGGGAATTTTCTCTGCAACACCTTTCCTTACACTTGTCTTCACTGCCTGTCTGAGTGGGTGCTCCACCTCATACCTGCAGTACTGTAGGACAATCGCCACACAGCGAGGCGGAAACGACGATCGAGGTCCCAATGAAAATGAAGACGAGTGTTTGTCCTTGTGTTGAAGTCCTGTCAAGTTGTCTTTGCACCCCGTTGTATTCCCTCTTTGCCTTAAACGACCAAAGGAGAAGCACGTGGGACCAGGGCATTAACCCGACACACGCAAGGGGCAGGTGGGACAAACACAACACGACAATAACAGCTCGCACTCTGAACTCTGTCCATGTGATATAATGCTATGTGTATTTCAAAAGTTTAAAAAAAGATGTACTGTAGATTTTACTACCATGTCAGTATGTTTCAAAAGCTGCCATTCTGTATTTGTATAAAGAAACGTTTCACTGTAGTCGAACATTTATAAAAGTGTACCAGCTCTGTAAAAAAGAAATCACTGAGAGATGGAAAAATATATACAAAATATACGAGTAGTATACTGTTTGGTGTATTTTTTTTTGAGTGCAATGCAAGTTCGGGGATTGGAAATTTGAAGGATTCAAAAGTGCATAAAAGTATTGAAGAGTTTGTTAAGAAATGTGACTAATTGAGTTGTCTGTCTTAAAGGCACGCAGACAAACGTGTTTAACTATGAACCTGAAGAAGATGGAGAAGAGAATTAACGAGATGATTGTTGAGGACTCGTTCCATCAAAGTGAAATGCACAGGAGCAAGGATTGCTTATTAAAGTTCAGCTCAGGTAGGAATTGAAGTGCTCAACTGCACTAAGGGAAGACAGTAAAGTACAAAGAAAATGAGAACCAGCTCTTGATACTGTCTAGTCATTTTTTCAAATTACAAAAAACAGTATGACATTTTGTTTTCATTTTTCACCCTTTTCCTGTATTTATCTTGCAGTTCTTAGAATAGGTTGAATGCATTCTCACTTAAAACATATTTGCACTAATGGAACTCTAGGGGAGTTTGTCCTTGGACATCTTGGTCTTCCGTGTACAACTTTTACTGAACTGTCTCTTGTCAATGCCCTCTCCTTCATCAAAACCAATGCTCTAAATCTGTGGTATCCAAACTTGGGGCCCCTGGTGGTTGCGAGACACTGAAAGGAGGGTACAGGATGATTTTCAGAAACCAAATGGCATTTAAAAGCAATTATTAATAGTAGTAAAATTAAAACTAAAATGACTAGAACAGTCCCCTAATGAAACCACATCTAAATCCACTAGATCCAGATTGCTGTGATTTTTTTTTAATCAAGATCCACTAATTATTATTATGAATTATGGCAAAACATCCTATCTCACAATTATCAATGATCCACCCCGACTTCTTTCCTGACCCAAACTACAACCTTCCAACAGGTTTCATGGTAGACACACAGAGTAAGAAACACAGGCCTACAGTATTTAATACTAAAGCTGTATTAAAGGAAAAAGCCCTGAGGAGAGGCAGGTGCCGCCTTGGATCCAGATTAGGTTGCATCACAGAAAAAGCATCACCAAGACAACCTTCAAGAACAAATCACAAGGAGCACAATTGCCATCCCAGAGAGCAAAATATCATCATCATCATGAGCAAAATATCACAAGGATCCCCAGTGTAGAAGGGGGTTATATAAGAGAGAAAAGAGAAAAAGTCTCCATGGGAACATGAAAGATCAGTGAAAGGTTGACAGATTTAACTTGAAGGTCGACTCTACATATAAGTCTTATTCCTTAATATTGTGTTTATTCAATAATGGACACATATGATACAGTCTGTCCATGACGGGAAATATAATGAAAAAAATAGACAGTGTTTGGATCCCTGTAAAGTATTTTTTATCCCTATCGATTCAGTTTTATTTGTATTGCGTCAAATCACAGCTTTAATTACTTCAAGGCACTCTGCAGAGGAAGATCGAGACATTCCATTGTTACAGACAGATCCCAAGAGCTCCACCAATAAACAAGCTCTCTATGACAGAGAAAAAGGAAGAAACCTCCAGGCGAATAGGTGATTACCTTCACCATGGAGGTTATGTTGTCCACTTTGCCCTTTGGATTGTTCATCAAACACTACAGAGCAAAACAAACAAACAAAATATTCTGGCTTCTGGATCTATTCTAGTATATTCATCTTTATCTTTTATTCACGAAGTGCAGAGTTAAAAATAGTCTCTGGTCAGACACCCTCACACGTCGACTCCAAAACCAAAGATTTCACGTCTGTTTAAAGGTTCCCATCGCTATACCAAATGTATGGACTCACCACATTTTTTTAATTGTATTTATGAGGTACAAATCCTACAACCTGTATGTTTACTGAGCTCCAAACACCAGAGGCATAGTCAGAGACGGGGGCATGCACGAACACACGCACGCACGCACGAATAGTACAGTTGTGAATAGAAACAGCATCCCAGGTCACCACTTTGTATGATTAGTATGCTATCTCTATCCTAATGCTATGGTCTCAAGATCAAAAACAGAACGTGACAATTTAAATTGTACAGCTGTGTACGTTGACTTGTTTACTGAACATGTGTCTGTATGAAAGATGCCACACTTCAGAGTGTCAGTGTCTTCTAACCAGATGATAAATTTAGATTTATGAAGAGGACCGAACACTGAGTCAGTGTCAAAGACGGGCCTGTGCAGAACTGATGGGTCTTATTCAAACAGTTTCTAATGTGTATAAATATATACTTTCTTATTCGAGTGCTGGCTGAGCTTCTTAAGTCGACTTGAGGCGAATGAAGCCAGAAAATCCTCAGCTAACACCGCCGCTCCACTCGACCTCATCCCACCCCTTCACACCGCGCCTGCTACTGTATATCTCCTAAAGACCCATTAACCCACTGCAAATGGTCAGTGAGAAGAGGCGGCCTGTGCAGCCACTGGATATTTTGCCATTTGGCCCGAGCCAGCCACCTGGCAGAGGGACAGCATGGGAGAGGTGGGGGTTGAGCGGGTTGAGAGAGATGCAATTAGCGACGCAGGCTGGTTCTGGCAGAAGGTGGACAGTGGGGCGCGGCTACAGAGAGGGAGGTCTGGGGATCAAGTCAAAAAATAAACGGACAAATGGAGGGGAAATAGAGAAGGAAGTGGAACACAGTGGATGAAAAAAACAGCAAGAGAGAAAACTGAAATCCCTTTGTCTGAATTCTCACCAGGGGAAACTGTGCTGTAGCTACAGGCCGGATACTGAATATGGATGACTTTCATTTGTAAATATTAATAATATTAATAATAATATGTCTTTAAAATGTTCAATCAGCAGGTCAACCATGTTGATCCTTACAGGTTAATTGTGGGCGGTTATAAATCAGTGGACTAGCAGGTCGGTGGTTTGACTTTGCATTTAAAACATCTCTCTCACAGATATTTGGGCCTTGATAGATAAAATTGTAAAAGAAAAGTCCCAAAGACCTAAATAGAAAGGATTTCTTTTTCATGACATTCAGAATCAAGTCTCTGACCTCATCATTCTCTACAAGGAAATAATAAATAACTAAATCAGACAGCAGGGAGTGATGATGTTAACTGACACACTGTGTGATTGTGTTTTGTTGCAGTGCTCTGGTCACTGTAAAAAATGATAGTGGTGCATGTTGACATTAGGGAGCCAACGCTGGTCAAGTGATTCTTTTTTCCCCATCACAAGTGCTTACACACAAGTTAAGAAACCTTATACACCAACAAAAAGTATGGCACAGTAAAAAAAGATTATTGGCTCAACCATTTTAGTATTTTACTCAAATAAAAAAATCTAAATTTCATACCATTACAAACATTTGTAAAGTTTAAAGTCTTTAGTTATCTACTCAAGTGATCTGCAATATGTTAATAATTAACAAATGATGAAGAAACACGAAGATGGTAAAAATCTATTTAATTATTTATATTATTGACAAGGCCAAGCTTAAAGGGACAAACACACCAGAAGATGTTATTTTCAAGGAAGTGTAAGTATATACACACATATTAAATTGATTTATATATTCTATAGAAAATCTATGAACATTTTTGAAGCCAAAAATGCCTTTAAACCACAGGACTGATTTTATACACTGAAGTCAGAGGCACATTTCGACCATAGTGAAGCTAAAACCATTTTCTAAATTGTCAATGATGTTGCATATACAGAAGCAGCTCCTATAGACTCAATATGTTGTCATTCATATCAGATTTAAAGGTGATGGGCTTAAATACAACAATGAGTATATTAGCTATTCATTCATTCATTCATTCTCAACGCATTATGTAAAGATGTCAAAGTAGAAGCTGGAGTTGGAACTTAAATGGCAAAAAGAAAAATTTAACCAATTAAGGCACATTATGAGAGAGCACATTACAGCTTCAGCAGGAGAAATCAAGAACTAATTTGC